TGGAGGATTTAGCAGCTAAAGAGCCACATATTTGTGGTGAAAGAAAAGTCAGGTATTAAAGGTTTAAAATAAAATGTAAGTACTTGAAAACCTACAATTATAAATACAAAGCTAAAATAGCAAGATGGGGCTGGTATCTGTTTATTCCAACCAACCAACCAACCAGACTGCTGTGGTTGTTTAAATTGAAGATCACTTTAAACAAAACACTTAATTCATAAGTCTACAGTCAACAGGAACTGCTTTCCACACATGATTTAGCATACTAATTGTGATTTGTAATGTCAAATAAAGACATTTATACTGTGAAATGACATTTTAAGTGGAAAGGCTCAGCTGACAAAGACAGTCTCAGCAGTGCAGACACAGGAAGGGGGCATCTGTGTTCAAATGTCGCCTCCTAGTGGACAAAGTCCAGCAAGACATCTGTAAGGACTCGTTAGAGTCAAAACAATCTCTGTATAATCGAATACAAAAAGGGTAGAGTCTATCCTGCCGTTGGGTGGACAACCAGTGTCACAACATCTACAAACAAATGACAAACTATGGATGCGGACGCAGGTAATTGTTTGCTTTAAGTGTTGTTGGGCCAGAGTGCTGCTTGTAACAGTGTATAGTATGTTATAACGTCTTAATTAAGTTGTTACACTGTTTAATAATCAGCCATTTAGTTGGGTAACATCTCCAGTGCCAGGTTCACTGTAGGGTAGTTTGTTTGTGAATATGCACAACTAAAGCAAAACATCAACTGACTCCTCTATTACTTTCATTTTAATCTGTCAATATAATCAAACATTACATTAATCTAAGGTGATATCCTTTTATAACATGTCAGTGATCAGCCCATACCGGTTTAGCCCTGCTGTGGAGCATGTTTGCGTCACCTTTGAGCTCTTGACACCCACAGGCTATTTATTCCACACGTCATTCAAGGTAATGGCGTACACCTCTAACTGTGCTCCAGATGCAGGCCCTAGCTGTAGCTTCTACCACCTCTCCTTTACTATCACCTGATGAAATGCTGGCAACTTGTCTCCTCATTTGGAAAACTAACATGTGTTTACAACTGTGAGGATCAGCAGCAGTCTTTACAGGTCGGTTTCACAGTTTTTATTGCTGGGCCAGAAGCAGCCCTGGTGAGCTTCTTAAAACTAAAAAGCTGCAAAGCTTTTAATCCACTTTCAGGTCATCCCCCTGTTAATATGCATGTTGCACCAAGGGATAAAGATCTCACATGCTGCGCTCATCTCTGAGGGCTTTATCTGTCCCTCTCTGCCATGTTGCCAGGGAATCTGATTAATTAGTGTTCATTGGGTGATTACTTTGATACTGGTTCGTGGTGTAAGTGTCTTGGCAGGCGTGTGTTTTGGTAAGCTAAAGTAGAGTTTGGAGATATATACTATAAGGATAAATACTCTTTATCTACTCTCTTAAACTACCTATGCTAACATCGTGCTTTCAATGCATCTCCCCTGCAATTAAATGTCTGAGAACATATCAGGTAGAAAAAAACATTTGGTGATGATGAGGGTGTGTTGATGTCATTGGAATTGGAGCATTTAGAAACAGAAACTCCCAAGGGACCAGGTCTTACCCCTCAGGTCCAACTTGATCAGGGTTGGCTG